ATTGATGGAAGCACTCCTTGGTACAGTCCTGAATAAACGAAGCAGACTACTGTTTTTTTTTACTAGAAGCCAAATCCAGGTTGAAAAGAGCCATCCTCCTGGTGGCTGCTGTGAGCCAGCAGGAGTCCAGTGGGGAACCCTGTAGAAAGTTGGCTGTGGCTTCCAAGCTGTGGTTTGGCACATATCCTCTCCAAGATCTCTGCCAAATATTCACTCCTTTTTAGTGTGTGGGTTTTTTTTTTCTTTCCTTTTCATGTTGGCATTTTATTTAGCTGTACCATATGAGTTTAAGGCTGTTAGTTTGATATAATTTGTCGTCAGAATGGGCTGTTTTGTGTGGGGTTCTTTGATGGAAGATAAAAATACGAGGTGCATGTAAAAGCTGAACAAATTGTGTTGAGAGGAGGTTGTAGTAAAGGTAACATGAAGCAGTAGCAGTGATACTGGGTCTGGTTCATGTATCTGTCTTGTGTGGGAATTTGACATCACCTCTGCATGCCTAGTCAAGGAGATCCTTGGTTCTCATTGGAAAAGTGGGAGAGAAGGGAGAAACATGGACACCCAAGAAAATTTCTGATCTTTTCCCTAGATGTGTTAAAACACGGGCTCTCCACAGCTGGGCTTGGTGAGTGCAGTGAGGAGTCCAGGGTGATCCTCCAGCACTTCCCTACATTTTCCTGTTCAAGGGAGTCTGGGATTCCAGAGTGAACCCTTTGCTGAGCTGAGCACTGTCTGGGGAGTTGCGTCAGATGTGGCAGCATTGTTCTGGATCAGCCTGACCTCTTTTAAAAAAATATGCATTTTTCCAACACTAATAGAAACCTTAGCTGAGGTTCTCTCCCTTTCTGTGTGTGTGCCTGAGCACTAAATTAAAAAAAAAAAAAATCCCAGATGTGAATCTATAAACCATCTGTTTAAAATAACTATTGTGCAGGACTATAATTAAAAGTTATTTATTATGAATCTTGGGATCCTATTATGGATTTGACTGACTCCCAGCTTTCTGACTTAGCAAACAGTTTATGTATTTATGGGCCATGTGTCTCTTCCGCACTTCTTGGTGCCAGAGTGCATGTCCTTTAAACAGAAGGGAAAAAAATCCCCTACCCTCCCATAACTGTTGGCTTCTGACTCTTGCTGTCTAAGAAGTTTTCTCTTAAGAACAGCAAAATTCAAACTATCTGAGAGCTTTCAACAGATTCAGAGACGCTGTTGACAGCCCAGATGGAGGCTTGGTAATACAGCTCGCCTGTATGCAGCTACTTAGCGACTTTCTAAATGTATGGCTGGGACAAGTAATGAAATGTTATGATTACTGGGGGTAGGAGGGGACATAACTGGAAGGAAAGGATTTGTTGCTTAAGTCCATTTGCTCTCAGACTCCACTTTGCCCTTGTGAAATGGGAAGGGAGGAGACAGCAAAACTGAAACAAGCAGATGGACAGTAGACATTAAGAGCAGTGTTTTGGGCAACTGGGTGAAGGGAAAAACCCAGCCTCCAGATGACAATTACTCTTTTGTTTTATTTTTGTACTTTTACACCCAGCGGACCCAGGAGATGTGCACTGGATAATGCCTGACTGCAATAGACTAAACAATGATTTACCAGCCCTGCTTTATCTGCTGCAGGCCTGTGATGGATCAGCATGGTACATTAACCCTTTCCTCCACATCTGCTGACCTTGTTTCCCACAAGATTCAACACTGAGATAAAACAGCAGGACTTTTTAGAAAGAATTTTGGGATAAGAGTAATAATAGTAGTAGAAGCAATAGGAGGATGAACTTCCCTGGAGCTACATTAATCTCTTCTTACTTCAAGAGGGATTTTGCCATGAGGACAATGCCAGGGCAGCAACATGTTGCAATTGTGGCTCTACTGTATTTTCCAGCAAAAGGCCCCATGAGGGGTGGTGGGGCTGCAACCCTGAGCAATGCCATACCTCACAACCTGGAAGAGCAGCCCAGCCCTGATGGCAGGGAGTGGGATGGCAGCTTGGGATGACATCTGAAAGAGCCTGTTTTGGGGCCATCTGGGCCTTGCCTATAACCAGCTAGCATGAATATCAGCTTTGCAAATCCTACCCTGTTTTAGTGCTTAGCTGCTCTTCTCTTTTGTGCTGGCAAAGATTGGCTATTGGCTCTATTTACCTGGGATACATGGAGGTGTCCTTTAAGGCAGGAGGAGCTTGCAGCTTCTCCTCCAAGGGAGAGAGCTAAGCTTCCATTTTAATTTGGGGAAAAAAACCCAAAACAAGCAACAAAACCCCCCCTCCCCAAAAAAGTGCAGTGGGTGATGAGTGTGGCACCTCCTCCCTACCTTTCAGCACCATGCTGTAATAACTGAGCTCTGAGTCAGTGATCCAGATTTGCTGCCCTCCACATCCAGAGGCAATTCAATGACTCATCTCCTGCTTTCCCCACAAGTGCCCTCACTGTAAGAACCAGTGACTTGTGGGGGCATGAAGCACAAGCCCCTTTCTGCTGAAGCCAGGCCACTGAACAGCAAATAGTTCAAATTCTACTGAGATAAAGAAAGGAAATGTGAATGTGTAGCCTACTGCTTAAGACATCCTCCTGGAGGGAAGGACCCTTCAGGTCCTGTCACTGCACTGTGGGCTGCTAATATTCTTCATGTGGGACAGCTGCTTAATGCAAAACAGCCCTTGGCATCAGCACATGAATTCCAAAATCTTCCCTCCCAAAAAACCTGCTAAACCAGCAGCTTTGCTGGTGATAAGGAAAGAAGAGCAAGACTCGAATTTGGCTGGACCCCTGGGGTGGTTCAATGATACCAAGCTCATAATTGGAGAGGATTTTTCTGGTTTTAGCAATATGGGGAAACAGGCGGCTTCTACTGGGAATGATAGCTAGCAAGTATCTCCTGTTTGAAATATGTGTGTTGGGGTCATCCTTAGGAACTCCTTGCATTGCCAACAAGAAGAAACCATGTCAGGATGTACCTGAGGGCAGAAGGAGGCAGACAGCACTCAGGGAAGAAATTGCCTGGGAGGCTGGGCTGTGTGAGGAATTTGCCCCAAGGAGTCCTCTTGGAACCAGGGAATTAAAAAAAACCAAAACCCAAGAGCTCTATTATATATTTTTTTGTCCCTCTTGCTGCCATCTGCAGCAATAGTGTCATCCTTTGAAGAGGGAGTGCAATGGGTAGCTGCTCACAGGCCCTCCTTACACACACCCAGCCCAGCCAGGTTGGTTCTGAAGGGCACTGTGCACCTCACTTCTCTTAGAGGTGCATGATGCATGCTGCAGCTGGGTGAACCATGTTCTCCATTGGAACAAACTCTAAACTGGGTTTTGCTCCTCCTTCACACCCACTTTCACCAGGCAGAAGAATTTCCCATAGATAAAGGTAGTGAGGCTGATAGGCTTATTACATCTTTCCTTAAGCACACTCATTAGAGAGAATCAGGTCTTAGAAGAACCCTTTAAAATGCAGACTGTAGTTGAGGTGGTAAGCTGGATTCTGCTGCCCTTCAACAGACTTTACCGGGTGCACCGTGTTCCTGCAAAGGGAATCAAGATTTCGCTGAGCACTTGAAAAGAGACATTGAACCACTTGCAGTTCTGTGTCGTGGCTGCTTTGTGCCAGTCCAGAGCTACAGACCAGCCATAAATTCAGCTTAACCAGCTGGTTAAATTGCATTTATGGTTGCTCTGCAGTGCTGGAGTGATCAGAACAGCCAGCACTGCAGTGACGTGGCTTTTTACAGTAATTGTTCGTGTTGCTGCAGCTGTGCTTTAGGGCCTGATTTTCATTTGCTGATTTCACACTGTCTTGGTGAGAGTGAGTCCTCATTTACACTGATAAGACTGAAGTGTCTTTATAGCTCCCATCAGATCAGGCAGTGACTTTGAAGTAAATAAACCTCTGATTTTAGACAAAGGGCTGGAGTGTAATAAAAGCTGCATGTTATTCTTCACAGGCACCTGGAATAAGGCCACAGTGAACAAAATAAAAAGACTGGAAAGCACAGCTTCTTTTTCTTTAGTTTTATGATTTACATTTTTCTAGCCCTTTGATTTTTTTGGTCTCTAATTAAGTCATAAGGTTGGGTGAGGTGGGTACTTGCATGCACTAGATGGCCACCTGTGTCACCTAATGAACTGAGCTACTAATTATAGGTGGAGGTCACTTCAGAGGGCTACTTTAAGTAAGGAATTTGAAGTAGCAAAATTTTACTAAAAGAAACACCCCAAGTATTTGTTTTCTGCACCTATTTAATGGCAGGGATAACCAAAAGTGTTGACACCACTGGGGCAAGGTAGGCAATAAATGGAATATTTCTGCTGCCTGCTGTTGCGCATCCTCTATTGACATTCCTTAATGTGGTCAATGTGCTCTTTGGCCTTGGGAAATCACTGGCTTTTTGCCATAACACAATGACACTATAATGTACAGTGATTCTGTCTGCTCATGGTGTTTCATTGATTCTCAGCATTTTGGGGAGAAAGATGAATGACATTAATCATCTTGCCTGGTATAGTACACAGTAGCCTCTTTCAAAGAACCTCTAGGCAAAATTGATTTTCTGCAGTGGCAGAATTTTGTTTTCTCTGCTGTTACTGCCTTTTTCTCTGCTGTTTGTGGTTCTGTCACAGCAATTCCTAAGCTGTGCAGTTCATGGGGCAGCTCCTCAAAACCCTGAGGATATTTTAACAAGCACCTCATGTAGGTAGTTGTTCATTTAAGTAACATGGATTTCTTCAGTGCTGCACATTTTCTGTACAACACTGGGCAGCAGTTATGAATTATTGTCTAAGTGGGGTTTAAACACCATTTACTTGGGCTCCTGGATTATTCAAAGACTGTTTTCTACTGTGTTCCTTCAAGAGAAGAAAGATGTGTTGACTCACAAGGACCTCTTCTGAAGCAAAAGAGCAGGCTGCTGGCTCCACACTTTATTTTCTGAATTGCAAGAAATTATAGCCTTGGGTTTGGTTTGCTTGCAATAGCTTTTGTCTTTTTTTTTTTTTTTCCAGAATAAGGAAGTGACGTGCAAAAGGGAGAAGTGTCCAGTGCTGTCCAAGGACTGTGCTCTCGTCATTAAGCAGAGAGGAGCTTGCTGTGAGCGTTGCAAAGGTGCCATTCCCTTCCTGTTGCTTTCCCTCCTTTTAAACAGTTATCAGTGCACACTGAGGTTGCCAAAGATAGGAGTAAATCTGCAGCTTCTCAGGTGGGACTTGGCTGTCACCAGAGGCTGAAAGAGGGCAGTAACCATAATTGAAATACATATATTTACAAAGGTGAGAGAAATACATAAATTCACATATTTGTCCTGCAATTATTATTCCTTGTGCAGCAACTGTCCTTTAGAAATCTTCATCGCTGTGTTGTCAATTTTTTAAGAGTTCTAATTTTATCAGAAATATTTTAGGTCAGCACCAGTCTGCTAGTAGTCAATGGTCAGTAAGAATCTCTTTAACTTTTTATGTGGTTGGACAAAATAAGAATAATACTTCTGATTAATAAAGAGCAGGATAATTATCCATGGCTATTCCTATTTCTCCCCTTGAAAGGAAACAAACCAAGCAAATTTTACTCATTCTATTAAACATTTCCTGATTCAAACAATAATATTGTAGACATTTTTTATGAAAGCCAAATAAGCAGCATTCTGAACATTATACATTTATTTATTGACCAACATTGTATATTCCAAGCTGTTTAAAATGAGATAATTATCAAATAATAATAATAAAAAAGTGTAAGCATGCATGGCATGCATCTGCTATATTTAACCACATGAAAAATATGCAAGTAGATGAAGCTGAAAAGTAGTCTTTTTTTTTTTTTATGTTGATGCAGCAAGTAATATGCTCTAAACCAGTAATTTTGCTGAGGGACTGCTTCCATAATCAATGAGGTGGAGAATGTCAAATTCAAGCAGCTTTATTTTATTTTTCCTCTGTCATTTTTAATTCTCCACTGATGACTGTGTGGAATTGAGAGGGAGATAAGGTAGGATAAATTGTTGGGAAATAAAAGCATTTCTTGCCTTCCCAGAGGAAATACAAATTCAGGAAAACAGATTACACTGAAATTTAGATGGAAAAGGCATAATGGATGTGTATTTTTCCTGGAAGGTTGCAGAGGTATGTTAGATGCTGTGCTTATGATTTGCTTCTGTGCTGCAGCTTTTGAATAGGTCTGGCAAGCCCCAGTTCAAGGATTTGTCTAGAAACATGACACTTAAAAGAGAAAGAAATGAACTGGAAAAAAAATTAAACCATTACTGAAACAATAAGAATTTGAAAATACAGATTTTACATAAATTACATGCAATTTATTTATTTTGTCAAACCATGTTTAGTATCAGCTTTGTAGGAAAAGGTTGCTAAGTGTCAGTTGGATTAAGATGGAGTTTGATTTTTCAGTTTCAAAATGAGATGTGTATTTGCTCAATGGTCTGAAAATTCTATACACATATATATGCATATGTGCATGCAAAATGAAAAGAATGAATGTTTCAAAGCTGAACAAACAATAATTCAAACAGTATTTTAATTCAGCCTTCTTTTAACATTTTCTGTTTATCCTGAATTGGGGTGGGTACCTACAGAACATTATTGATAGGCTTGAGCCTGCCATCTGCAGATTGGTATGCTTGACATCTCTAATGGGATAATTAATAGAAACTATTCAAAAACAAAATCAGGAAGCGCATGGATATTTAAGATAGAAGAGGGATGAGTTAGAGTGCTTTGAATGTATCAATGGACAGAGAGATCCCACAACAAGATCCCTAACAAGGAAACTGCTGAAGAAACTAAGCAGCCCTGAGTTTTTAGAGGTACTCTTCTCACCAGCAAATAAATAATTAAGGTATGGTTGTTTTCATAGCAAATAAATGTTGCCAACATATCCTTGCAAAGATCTCAATTTGCCAAAGTGCCCAGAAATGACCTAGGAAAGGGGTGAAGAGAGACAAGAAGTTTGCTGCTGGTGCCCTGATCTCTGTAGTGTAGTAAAGCAAGAGGACAGCCTGTGAGGAGCTGCAAAAGGTTCTCAGGGCACCGAACAACTGATGACAAAGCAGCAAAGGAAGTTAATGTGGATGGGAATAAATGGATGCCCAGAGGACAAAACAGTCCTGACTTTACAAATACAATACTGGGCTCTGAGTTGACAATAACTGAATGGCTACTGTTTCTGAGTGTTATAGAAGATACTTCTGTGGCACAATCAACTCAACCTTCAGCAGTTCTCCAGGGGGAAAACTGAATGCTGAGTTTGTTAGGAAAGGAGCAAGGTACAAACAAAAATGCCCTGTTTTCCCTCTGAGTCAGACAGGCTGCTTATTCCTGCCCTTCTGGAGCTATGGACCTTGGTCTGTATTTGTCACACTTCCCAAGGTGTCTCTTAGTAGCTGCTATCAGACAGAAGATTATTGACAAGAAGGGTACTTGGTCTGATCTAAGATAGCAGTTTCTATTTGCTTAAAATGCAAGAACATTAAATTTCATAATTCAAAGGAAAAAAACTCTCAAGGACTGAATTTTCAAAGTAGATGTGAAATTTCTGAGTAAGTTTTGCTGTGCTTTCTGAAAGGCAAAGCGAAATATGCACCCATTTAACTCCTACCGTCTTGACACCACACTCTGTCCCCAGGTTGTTCTGGTTCCAGGGGAAGAGGCTGATGGAATCACCTCTACTGCAGGGGAGACTGCTTGCTCTCCCACCACTCTGAATGCTGCTGAAGATCCTGCTCTGTTCTGTGCCAGGTCTAAAATGAGTGGGGGGTAACTGGGGAATGAAGGCTGCAAACACCAGGCTGGCAGTGTAGTGCTTCAGCTTCTCCCTTGGGTGTCCCAGCAGCTCCCTGGCACTCCCCGCATGAAGCTCAGCTGCAGCAGGGACTTGGCTCTGCAGCACTTATTCTCAGTTACTATTTTGTCAAGCTGCCAGAGTGCCCATGGGGAATGCAAGCAGGAAAAGGGAAACAGGGATTTTTTTTTTTTTAATAGTTGCATCTCATCTAAACATGAACAAAATGTTACCAAGGAAAGACATCAGAACCTGATGACTTTTTTTCTTGGCTTTGTTCCCAAAGCCTGGGAGAGCTTAATCAAGCCTTACAGGCTCTTACCAGCTCTCTTTGATAGCTTCAAATTTTCCTACCTTGTGAAGAAATGAATGAATGAGTGAGTGAATGAATGAATGGTTGCTGTCATCTGAGTGCAACATTAGGAGGATAACATTAAGACCAAAGGGCATGTTCCAGAGTGGGCTTGTGTAGGAAGGAAACCACCACTCATGAGTCATTTGTGACATCTCTGCCAGTGCATTTTACTCTATCATGAGGAGCATGAGGACTTTCCCTGCCCATTGCAGGCAGAGTTGGACTAGATGACCTTTCAAGTTCCCTTGCAACCCAAACTATTCTGATGGTACCTGCAGCAGTGCACACACCTGAACTCTTCTATGCAGAGCTTTGCATACAGGAGAAACAGAATTGTTGGTACAGAACTTTTCCTGCAAATGGTTGTGTGCTGAGCATAAGTCCCTTGCTTCCATGTGGGTATTTGTATGCTACTTAGATAATTTACAGCACTTCTTTTTTTCATAAACAGAGAAAGTAAGGAGCAGCTACTAGTACAGCTTTTGCAATCAGAAAATTCACTCTGCTGGAAAGTAGCATATGAAAAGGTTTGGCTTTGCTTTGTCAGACAATCACAGAATATCCTGAGTTGGAAGAATCCCTTAAGGACCATCAAATTCTGATTCCAGGCCCTGCACAGGATAAGAATGTGCCTGAGAACATTGTCCAAATGCTTCTTGAACTCTGTCAGGCTTAGTGCTGTGACCACTTCCCTGGGGAGCCTGTTCCAGTTTCCAACCACCCTCTGGGTGAAGAACCTTTCCCTAATATCCAACTGGAACCTCCCTGACACAGCCGCTTTCCCTCAGGTCCTGTCACTTGTCACCACAGAGAAGAGACCTGTGCCTGCCCCCCCTGCCCCTCTGTTTCCCCTTGTGAGGAAATTGTAGGCTGCAATGAGGTCTAAGATTTAAACTGGGATTTAAGTTCTCCAGACTAGCCATGTGTTTTAACACTGTTCTTGACTTTCGGCCCATAGGACCTTGATTGTAAAGCTGGTGGGGCAAAGCTCACTTTTGCTGTGTGTTTGTGAAAAGTCTGGCACAGAGAAATGTGGGCCAATGATTATGGCTCCCTGCTGCAAGGAGAATGCAGGCAACTCAGTCTAATAGGAAACATTTTCAGTAAGATTATTCTTTTGACAGATATTTACTGTAAAACATACCACATACCTCTAGCATGCTATTCCTCTTGAAAATACTAAAAAATTAAGCCCTCTTATTACTTTTGCATAGGATAAATAGGTCCCTTTTCATCTCTCATTTTACTTAATTTATTTAATGAAAACCTATGAGGTTACTGAGATTATAGAAAGAGATTTGGCAGCATTATCTTATTTAGTTGGATGGAGACATGTCACTTACATATAGAGCTCTCTACACATAGACTAGTAAGTTATTTGCACTCTGAAGAAGTGGTATTACTGGCTCAGGTCTGCATAAAGTTTGCATTTCTAAAATTGTGTACCATATTCTACTCTCTTATCTTAAGAATCTTAATCCTCTATGGATGTGCAAAGACGAAGTTGGTGGGAATTTTTTAACAACAAAGAAAATATGTTCAGAATTTTCTTTCCCTTCCCATCTGCAATTTTGTGTTTTCTATCCTTGTTAACTTTTGAGAATTACTGGGGTTGTTTTTGTTGTGGTTGTTTTTGGTTTTCTTTTTAATAATTAATTATTGATCTTAGAAATTCTTGTGCTATGCTCCATTGATATGGAATCTATCAGAGAATGGAATCCCAGCCCAGGCAACAACAGTGCTATGTCTATTAAGTATTGAATATCCAAAGGTATCATAGTTAATTGTGCATTTCTTGGAAAGGATATCAAATACTATGGTTGAGGATTGCAGCCAATTAGGGCTGTCTTGCAAAGGAAGTTAGAGGGAGGTTGTGAGATTATCAGTGTCCTGGCTGCTCTACTGACACCCTGCAGGATCCATATGCACCTCTGTACTTTTTTTGCCTCTGGACACCCCT